GGATCTTCTCGAGCCCGACGTACTCTGCTGCCACCATCTCACAGTAGGATAGGATCTCGTCTCGCCGTGCAAACTGCGAGTGGAAGTTGGGGCGTGGGAGAAAGGTTGGCAGGTACGACGGGACCTCGGTGTCTGTCCCGGCTCCTGGGTAGTCATGGTCTCGCCAGGTGCCGCCGACGCCATCGCCATTCTCCTCGAAGACGGTGAAGTCCTCTATGCCTTGCTTGCGGAGAAATGCGGCGGCCGTGAGGCCTGTGATGCCGGCGCCAAGGATGGCGACGGTGGGAGACCGCAGAGCGGCCGTCGAAGAGCGGCGCATCGTCCTCGGCTGCTCAGCACCACCAAAGGCCGCTCTGCATCGTCCTCGGCTGCTCAGCACCACCAAAGGCCGCTCTGCGTCGTCCTCGGCTGCTCAGCACCACCAAAGGCCGCTCCCTGCGTCGTCCTCGGCTGCTCAGCACCAACCAAAGAGTGGAGGGGGGGACGGACGCGCGCAGCTTTGATTTCTTTTTACTAAAATTCTTTTTGGCAAAAGATAAAGAAAGCAAGCAGTAGCAATGGACAAAAATCCGAGAACGAGCCCCAACACGGCCGTATCGGAGCCTCTCGGGCACTCTTTGCTGTCTCGTCTAGTAGGGGTTGTATTTTCGGGTACTTACGGACAGCCCTCTCCACCACCCTCGCCCAGGGATCTACATTTCTCTCGGCACACTGCCACCGTGCCACCGCCGCACCGGCGACCGGGCACCGCCTCGGTATACAAAATCTGTCTGCGGGCCGACCGCGACCCTCACCGCTCACCGCTCACTAGGCCCCTCCGTAACACGCCCAGCCCCCCACGCTACTCGAGTACCGCCCCCTCACTGCAACGACGACACGACGAGGACTGCACCCTTCGCACCTGCCGCAGCCAGAGTGTCGGGCTGCTGCGGGTTGCGTCCCCGCGCCCTCCCTGATCCCTCCCTCCCTCCTCAAGCTCCCAGAATAGCCCGCGCCGCGTGCGGCTTAGCAAGCCAGCCCTTGGAAGGCCGCGGCCACCTCCTCCTCGGCGCGCCCGAGAGGCGTGGGCAGGCTGAGGGGCGACACGCTGCGCGGCGCCGGCGAGGGCTTGAGGGGCGGGCTCCTCTTTGGCAGCTCCTGCTGCGGCCGGGCGCACGCCTGGCAGCTCGACCAGCTCACCGCGAGCGGCATCACGTACGCGAGCCACACGTCGACAAAGGCGCCCTGCTGGGCCTGCTGGGGGGCGGCGGCGGCGAGGAGGTCCGCCAGCTGGTAGCCGACCAAGCACAGCTGCACGGCGTGCCCGCGCTGCCTCGCGCCCCAGAGGTGGTGCGTGTCGGGCGACCACGGCTCCGCCGCGCGCAGGATGATCTTGGCGGCGGGGACGCGCGGGTCGTCCACGTGCTGACGCGCGAGTTCGGCGGGCGACAGGCACGCCTCCGCCTCGGAGCTAGCCTCGGAGGGTGGCAGAGCCGACGGCGAGACCGCCCCGGGCGAGCCCTCGGGCGGGGTGGCGGACCCCTCGGGACGGGACGGGGCCGGGCGGGCGTGGGGCGAGCAGCCCGCCCGCAGCAGCTCGACGGCGCGCTGCGGCGTGAGGACGCGCACGTGGTGCAGCGGGAGGTAGCGGTACGAGGCTGCGATCCACTGGTGCAGCTCCCGGTTGCCCGAGTCGCGTGCGAGCGTCTCCGCCTCCGACGGCCGCACGACGATGCCAGTGGCGTCGAGGTAGTCTGGCCCGCGTTCGGCGCCGTACGAGGAGAGCAGCATCGCGACGTGAAGGTGCCCGTCCTGCGCGGCGACCAGCATCGGCGAAGCGCCGTTCTGCGTGCGCGCGTTGACGCGAGCGCCCGCCTCGCACAGCAGCGAGGCGCATCTCAAAGAGCCTAGAGTGCCGTCAGCGGGGTGAGGCGCAGGCGTCTGCGGAGTCTTACCTCCGTCGCGGGCTGCGAGCCGGCGCACGCGGCGGCGTACAACGGCGTCGCGCCCGGATTGTCGCCAGTCATGGGCTGCTCAACATCCGCGCCCGCCGCGAGCATGAGCGACGCGCACTCGGGCTGGTCGGCCAGGCAGGCGATGAGGAGGGGCGAGCGTCCATATGCGTCAACGGTGGCGTGGTCCGCACTTGCATCGAGCAGAGCCTTGGTGATGGCAACGTGGCCCCGGGCGCAGCTCACGTGCAGCGCCGTCTCGAGATCGGGGCCGCACCGGGCGTCGAGGTCCGCTGTCGCTGTCGCCTCAACCAGCAGCTCGGCGCACCTCCTTTTATTGTGCATGATGGCGAGGAGCAGCGGTGTAGGCTCGCGCGTAAAGAGCTCGTTGGGGCCGCTCAAATACCGAACTGGTCGTGGGGCAGTCAGAGCGCCCGCTTGGATCAAGAGCCGAAGCTGGTCCGCGTCGCCGTGCGTGGCGGCGGCAAAGAGTGAGTCCCGGACGTTCTTGGGTGTGGGCACCGCGAGGATGGGCTCTGGACGGAGCTCCTCGGCGGGCTGCGGCATGGGCTCTGGACGGACCGAGCACGGATGGCGACACGCAGCACGATTGAGCAGAGCTTTTGCACGCTCTGAATTTTTCTTCTTTCCTGCTTTTTATACTCCCTTCCCGCCGCCCTCCTCAATGTCCTCACGCTACGCGCACACCATCTCTCTGCCCACTACCTCGCCCTTGGCCGCGTTCGTGTCGGGCTCGGCTCCTCCGCGCGCGCCCTTCCACTGATCGAGGCGGCTCAGGGCACTCCCCTCGGACTGCACGCGCCGCAGCCTCCCGCCACTGGAACTAGCGCCCGCCTCGAGCTGGCTCTCGTTGAAGCTCACCAGGCTCCCCTTGGAGTGCGCTTGCCTGAGCCGTCCCGTCGCCACCGCCGCCTTGGCCGCCGCCCACTTGGTCCTCTCCGACCGCGGCGACCCGCTGCCGCCCGGCGACCCGCCGCCGCCCGCCTCCCTCCCCTCCGCCGCCCGCCCGCTGGAGGAGGGCGTCCTCGGCCTCAGCCGCTCCTCCCTCGGCATCGCCTCGAGGGCGCGGACCACGGCCTCGAACTCGGGCCGCTCCGCCAGCTCGGCCGACCAGCCCGCAGCTACCAGCCCGCGCAGCTGGGCCGGCCACGCCTTGCCGAGAGGAGGCCGGTTGCCTCCGCGGCACGCCTCGCGCAGGAAGACCGAGGGCGTCATGAACTCGAAGGGCTTGCGGCGCGAGAGCATGTGGTACAACAGCGAGGTGAAGGAGAAGACCTCCGCCTTGTGGTTGTACGGCTGCGAGAGGGCAACCTCGGGCGCCATGTACCGGAGCGAGCCCGTCATGCCGGTGAGCGGCCGGACGGCGGCGTCGTCCTCCGCGTCCTTTTTCCAGAGCGAGAGCAGCCCAAAGTCGGCGAGCACGACGCGGCCGTCGGAGAAGACTCCAACGTTGTTTGGCTTGATGTCGCGGTGGAGCAGCCTGTTGCAAGCGGCGGCAGGGAGGCAGCGTGAGCCACGGGTATGCGGGGGGGGGGGGGGGGGCAAGACGAGTCTCGGCGGTGACGCACCTGTAGCCGGGCAGGAACTCATCTAGCGCAGCGCCCTCGCCAGCTGAAGCCCCACCGCTACCGCTCTGGCGAGTGGCCACTCCTTCGCCTCGCGCCGCTCCGCAAAGAAGCCAACCTTGCCAGACGGCAAGAGCGCGCCCAGCGGCTGCGAAAACATTGTGAGGCAGCAGAAGGGCGACCCGTCGTCAGCGATGCCATGCGCGACGAGGCGAATGATGTGTGGGTGGTTGATCCTCGTGAGCACTGCCACCTCGCGTCGCAGATCTGCTAGTCCTATTTTCTCGCGCTCCGGCGCCAGGTCCTTCCTGAGGCGCTTGAGCGCGACCATGCTGCCGCAAAGCGTGGCGGTATGCACCGTGCAGAAATCGCCTGCCCCGAGCTCCGAGAGCGGCTTCAGCTGCGTGAAAGATGTTGCTTCGCCGAGCGGCCTTTGCAGGTCGAGGTCCTGTTCGAATACCGAATCGGGCGAGAGCGAGGGTGGGGGCACCGCCATACGCTGTGCAGGCCGCAATGATGAAGTGCGAAAGGTTTGGGTTTTGCCGCGTATTCTTTTTTGCTGGCCGCCTTTGCTCCCCCACCCCTACCTACCTACCTGCCTGCCTACCCTACTTTTGGTAAACTAAAAAATAAATCACTCCGTAAGTGAAGTGGGGTACTATACCAACTTAAGGTGAGGGTTGGTGGACTCTCCTGCAACTTTGACATGGCAGGCCACTCTCTCAAGCCCTACCTACAAGCATCAGATCACCAACTTGGGGAGGGTTGACATCGTGATTTCAACCGAAAATTCTTCTTCTGCTCTGTAAAAGTTCCGGCTTGAAGACCGAGGGGAAAACGCGCGACGGGAAGGGCCCAGACCTAGCCTACCTACCCCCGGCATGGCGACCATGGTGTAAAGGGTGTGGATGCTGGGTTGAACATAATCGGGGGACGCGACCCACCTCGCCACAGACGGTCCCGCGCCTCGCCGCTAAGTTTGCGGCACGCCCCGCACCGTCCGCTGTGCCGCGTTTTTTGTCCGGAGTGAAAAGTCCAACGCGCTCGTCGGTGGCGGCTTCCCCCAACCTGCGCCGCGCTCGGCGAACCTCGACAGCGCTTTCGGTGGCATGCAGCTCTTTGCGACAGAAGCCTGGAGAGCAGCTCCTCTGCTGCTCACACACTCTGCACAGCTGACACAGCCTACTGTGCGGCTGCCACAGCTGTGACAGCGATGGGCTCGCCCTCACTGGCCCTCAGTCACCTGTGCTGCGGCTTGTGTGAGCGACACTGCTCGGCGACTGCCGGCACACTGTGAGACCATGGGTGTGAGGTCAAACCACGCTACCAGCGCTTGGTCACATCGGCCCCGAGGTCAGATCCATCCACTCTGTTGATGACAAGACTTGTCTACCGGCTGGAGCCGAGCAGGAGGGCTTGGCGCGCACAACCCCTGTTCAACTCACCCTCCACACCCCGTACGCCCAAGCAAAAAAATACGGGAGGTCCGGCCAAGCAAAATGAGAATACACGGGTGCGGGGCTCCCCCCGCGGCCCCGCGGTGTCTACGTATGGACACCTCCCTCGCCTCAAGCACACCTACACCTGCTAGTGCACATCGCACTTGCACGGGTAGCCCTTCGCCTTGAAGCCGAGGCAGCATGCCGAGAAGGCGGTGCCGCAGTCGCCACAGCCTGCGCCCGCGGCGCCCGACCCGTCCTGAAGGTGGCAGCCGCACGGGAACCCCTTGGCGGCAAAGCCGGCGCAGCACGCCTCGTACGCCTTGCCGCAGTCGCCGATCGCACTGCACGTGGCCCGGTCCTCCTGCTCGATGTTGCAGCCCTCGTGTGACCAGCGACAGTTGGCCGCCAAGCACGTCTGCTCGGATGGCCGCGACGTGCAGCAGAGGCCGGGGAACCTCGACGCGTGGCAGTCGACACCCGCCGTCACCGCAGCAACCGCTTCAGCCTCCTTGGCCTCGGCCGCCGCGACCGTGGCCGCCGCCGCGGCCCGCCCGCCGTCCCGCGCCTTGCCTGCGGTGATGTTCTCGTACCAGGGAAGCACCGGCAAGCCGGTTCCTCGGTCGTACAGACTAAGCATCGGCACTGCTCCCCAGCCGTACCGCGAGGCGAGGGGGGCGCCGGCGTAGGCGGCTGGCGCGGGTGACGCGGTGAGGGTGAGGGCGCTCCCGCCGGCCAGAGAGAGGGTCGCGTTGACCCACGACCCGTCGGCGAGAAGGAGCTCGGCCCACGCGCATTTGCCCGCCTGCGCGCTGCAGTTGAAGGCGCCGCCGAGGTAGTTGAAGGGGTAGACGTCGTCGCGCAAGCCGGCGGCGCTGACGTCGGAAAGGGAGATTTTCACGGAGGGTGGCGCCGCCGAGGCGACCTGCGACGCGAAGGAGGGAGAGCGCCAAGCGACGTCCCTCCCATACTCGAGGGCGAGCGCCGAGTTGGCCAGCCGCTTGCCGCAGTACTGCTTCGGTGGCGGGTCTGCGCCGGACAAGCGTGGGGGGCAGGGCTCAGATGCGGGAGAGGCAGGGCGTTGGGCCGTTCGGCGGCTCACAGATGTTGCAGCCGGCGCCGTGGTCGGCGTTGGTCGCGTAGCCCACCTTGGGGAGGGCGAGCGCTGCCATCTGGCCGACGGTGCGCATCTCGGCGATGAGCTCGCCGTTGCCGCACCACGTGGAGAGCTGCACGAAGCCAAAGTAGGCGGTGGGCCGCGCAAAGGAGCGCCTCCACTGGCGGATCATCCCGGGAAAGGTGCACGCGTACCGCGCCGCTCCCTCGTCGCCGCGCCGCTCATCGACGTTGGCCTCGCCCTGGTACCAAGCGAAGCCGACCAGCGCCATCGGGCCGACCGTGTACGGGTGGATCATCGAGTTGTACAGGGTGCTGTCGACCGTGCTCAGGTTGCAAGACCGGAGCACCTCCGGGGTCGTCCAGCTCTCGACGGGCGTTCCGCCCCAGTTGCTCGAGATCAGGCCGACGGGCGTCTGGCCGCCGAGCGCGTCGAACACCTCGCGACCAAAGATCCAACAGACCGCAGAAAAGTAGCCGAAGCCCTTGCTGTTGGCGACCGTCTTTGCGCTCGCGACAGACCAACTCTGCTCCACCGTCTGCAGGTCGGGCAGTGGCACCTTGGAGCTGGTCTTCTGGCCGACGGTGAAGAGGCGGACTAGAGGGTACCTTCACGGGGCCAGCCGAGGTGAGCACTACGAGAGGGCGAGCGCGGGCGAGCGCGGGCGAGAGAGAGGGAGAGAGGGAGAGGGAGGGAGAGAGAGGGAGAGAGAGGGTAGAATTTTCACCCATCGGCACGCGCAATTTCCTGGGTCGAGTTCTCAATCACGGGCATCGAGAACTGCATGTTGCTCTGCCCGCCGCACAGATACACATCGCCAAAGAGCACATTCTCGATTGCGGCCGTCTCGCCAGTGGACGCTTTGAAGGCCAATTTGTGAGGCGTTGGTGAGGCGGGCACTGCTGGGAGCGCCTGTCTCCAGATTCCGTCGCCGCCCGCCACGGTGGTGAGCAGCTGGTGAGCGCCGCCGCCCGTCATGGTGGTCGAGACAGTCGTGCCAGCGGCAACGTGGCCCCACACGACGGCACGCTGTGGCGCACGCTGCAGGACCATGCCCGAGCCGAGCGTGCGGGAGAGGAACGACGTGGTGGGCGGCGCGCTGGAGGCGGGCTCGCCGTAGGCGCTTGGCGGTGCGTCCGCCGTGTGGGATGGGAGCGCGAGCAGGCAGAGTAACATCGCCGACATGACAGCGGATTGGGTTCGCAGCAAGCCAGTCGCACCGGCTCCGGAGTGCGCGGCGATTTCTTTATATGATTTCTCTCGCAGCTTGAGCGCTGTAAGAGCGGTACTCTTTCCAACTACGAGTATGAGAAAGAGGTGCGTGACAATCGCGTGGCGCGAACAGCTTCAGCTTTTCTCGCCCGCTCTGCTGAGGGCGAGGCGCCGAGCTACGGTTCCAACGCTGCAGCACTCTCCCTCTATTCACAGCAGAGATGGCGACGCGTCCTACGCGCGTCCTCGTCCCCACCTGCTTTGCTTCAACGTGCTGCCATGGAGCCAGCGCGCCTCGCGCCATGATTCAATCGCCATGGCCGGAGCGCTGTGGATCGCAAAGGCCCATGGGCCGCTGCGCAGGGCGGCACGCGCAGGCGCTACACAGATCAGAGCATTGGCGCCGAGAGCATTCATTTCCGCATTCAGTTGTCGTTGTTCTGTCGGCTCGAACAGCCCGTACAGCCATTCAGCGGCTGGTGGACGGCGCGCAGTCTCCACGCGGATCCGCATCTCGTGCACACCGCAAGGCGCCGCCACCACATGGACCAGCCCGATGGACTTGGACAGTTTGCTGTTCAGCGTATCATTGAGCAGGATGAGATGAGCGTCTAGTGGTGACGCGGGTAACGGGCGAGGTCCTGGGTGCAGAACCCGCCCTGACTCTGCCGATCCACTGGATGCGACTCAACTGCTGATACCGAACTTGTGCTGGCGGGCAGTGATTTGTGAGCGTATCGTTCAAGATTGGGGTCAGCCCACCCAACGGATGGCCGTTCGGTCGTACGACATTCGACTCGACTGTGGACTCACTCCGTGCCAGTCGTCAGCCGCCAGTTCAACGCTCGCAATGCGGTATGAACGCGGTGTCCGCGGCGGTGAGCTGCGCAGTTGGTCATTGTTCTTCGTTGCAGAGTCTTTTCTCGCATTGCTAGGCAACCCACCAAGGCCCATCGACGGCCAGCGCCCAAGGTCTGATTGTGCCCCCGGCTGTGCGTCAGCAGCGGCTTCAGACAGGGCCTGCGCTTGAAGGGGATTTTACATTTACGGGCTCTGCCAGCAATGCGTGGAAGGCGACGCGACGGTTGAAGGGTACTGTCCAGAAGGGCACTGTCGCTCCGGGTCGGGCGACGGTGCCGCAGTGTCGCTCCGGGTCGGGCGACACTGCTCGCGGCGTCCGGGTCCTGCGCCTCCCGACGAGGTCGGACGGCGTGGTATTCCGGCCGCCGCGCCTCGGTGACTGGCTGCCGTAGAAACCAGAAGTACGAGGGCGTTGTCCACCCTAAGATGGACGGAACTCGGAGGGCGTTGTCCACCCTAAGATGGACGGAATTCGGAGGGCGTTGTCCACCCTAAGATGGACGGAATTCGGAGGGCGCTGTCAGGGTCCCCCTCGGGGAGCGACGGCGCCCGACCGTCAGGGTCCCTACGGGGAGCGACGGCTGAAGCGCAAGGGTACTGTCAGGGTCCCTTCAGGGAGCGACGGTGCCCTAATGTCAGGGTCCCCTCTGGGGAGCGACGGTTCGAAGGGCGCTGTCAGGGTCCCCCTCGGGGAGCGACGGCGCCCGACCGTCAGGGTCCCTACGGGGAGCGACGGCTGAAGCGCAAGGGTACTGTCGGGGTCCCCTCGGGGAGCGACGGTGCCCTACTGTCAGGGTCCCCCTCGGGGAGCGACGGTTCGAAGGGTACTGTCAGGGTCCCTTCAGGGAGCGGCGGTGCCGTACTGTCAGGGTCCCTCCGGGGAGCGACGGTTCGAAGGGTACTGTCAGGGTCCCCGCAGGGAGCGATCGTACCGCAGCTGCGGCTAAAGGCCTGCGCTGCCCGCGGCATTCGAATGCGGCGCCTCCCGACTGAGTCGGCTCGCGTCGTATTCCAGCCAGAAGGGCGCTGAGACGAGATCGCGATCTCGGTCATCACGCCATCTAGACTTTAGCGAGGCGTGTGGCGCGCCGGCAGCGCCGCCGCCGTCTAAGGTACTGTCAGGGTCCCTTCGGGGAGCGACGGTGCTGCTGAGCGTCTGCTTGAACTGCTGTCGTCCCGCCAGAGTATATCTCGACTAGCTCTTCATCGAGAAGAGCGTCGACTCGTGCGCCGCCTCGTCGGCGGCGTGGCGGGCGGGCAGCTGGATGTGCTGTCGCCTCGCCATAGGATACCTCGACTAGCTCTCGATCGGCTAGAGCGTCGACTCGTGCGCCGCCTCGTCGGCGGCGTGGCGGGCGGGCGGCCGGATGTGCCGTCGCCTCGCCGGAGTATATCTCGACTCGCTCTACATCGGCTAGAGCGTCGACTCGTGCGCCGCCTCGTCGGCGGCGTGGCGGGCGGGCAGCTGGATCTGCTGTCGCCTCGCCGGAGTATATCTCGACTCGCTCTACATCGGCTAGAGCGTCGACTCGTGCGCCGCCTCGTCGGCGGCGTGGCGGGCGGGCAGCTGGATCTGCTGTCGCCTCGCCGAGTATATCTCGACTCACTCTACATGGGCTAGAGCGTCGACTTGTGCGCCGCCTCGTCGGCGGCGTGGCGGGCGGGCAGCTGGACCTGCTGTCGCCTCGCCAGGGTATACCTCGACTAGCTCTCCATCGAGAAGAGCGTCGACTCGAGCGCCGCCTCGTCGGCGGCGTGGCGGGCGGGCGGCTGGATGTGCTGTCGCCTCGCCAGAGTATACCTCGACTAGCTCTCCATCGAGAAGAGCGTCGACTCGAGCGCCGCCTCGTCGGCGGCGTGGCGGGCGGGCAGCCGGATGTGCCGTCGCCTCGCCAGAGTATATCTCGACTCACTCTACATGGGCTAGAGCGTCGACTTGTGCGCCGCCTCGTCGGCGGCGTGGCGGGCGGGCGGCTGGATCTGCTGTCGCCTCGCCAGAGTATACCTCGACTAGCTCTCCATCGAGAAGAGCGTCGACTCGAGCGCCGCCTCGTCGGCGGCGTGGCGGGCGGGCGGCTGGATGTGCCGTCGCCTCGCCAGAGTATACCTCGACTAGCTCTCCATCGGCTAGAGCGTCGACTCGTGCGCCGCCTCGTCGGCGGCGTGGCGGGCGGGCAGCTGGATCTGCTGTCGCCTCGCCGGAGTATATCTCGACTAGCTCTACATACTCAAGCCTCGCGAGAGCGGCTCACGCAGGCGCAGCGCCGGCCGGGGAGGCCTCGCAGCTGCCGACACCAGATGCACTGTCGGCGTCGTTCTACGCGGGCCGCTCGTCGACTGATTGACTACGGTTCTCGCGTGGGGGCGCTGTGCTGTGCCGTACCGGGCTCGACCACGCCGTCAAGCCGTCGAAGTCCGAGACGTGGGGAGGCACAACGCCCAACCACGCCAGGGCCCCGTCGAGATCCTCGTCGCCGCGACATCGAGACCTCCGGTGATCTCCGGTGATCTCGGGTGATCTCCGGTGATCTCCGGCGGTCGGGCGGCGTCGATCTCCGAGAGGGAGTCGAGTCTAGCGTTCCTCAAGATGACGCACTACTCAACTCAACCCCTACGCCCGCATCGACGTGGGAGACAAGGCCACCCCTCGATGCTACCTGCTACCAAGCGGTGGGGCAGGAGATTGGAGGGGCCCCTTGCAGAGGTGGCGCGAACAGCTTCAGCTTTTCTCGCCCGCTCTGCTGAGGGCGAGGCGCCGAGCTACGGTTCCAACGCTGCAGCACTCTCCCTCTATTCACAGCAGAGATGGCGACGCGTCCTACGCGCGTCCTCGTCCCCACCTGCTTTGCTTCAACGTGCTGCCATGGAGCCAGCGCGCCTCGCGCCATGATTCAATCGCCCCCACCCGCCCTCTTCCTGGCGATGTTCATGGCTCAGAGCTGATTCCGATCAAAACACGCTACCAGTGTTCACTCTCTCTATAGCATCTCCCTCCGTGGTCGCGGGCTCGGCTCGCGCCGAGTTTCCGCTGTCGTCGTCACCGCATAGTCGGTTGGGCGGAGGCGGGCAGGAGCAGGCGGCTCCTTGGATCTCCAGCTCAGCCTGAGCTGTGAGGATCGGCCCTGTCCACGGTTGAAGCGACGCCAGCTTCACGAGATGTGTATCTTCAACGAGTTGGATCGGCTCTCTTTGTTCATGGGTCTCATTGGAGAGACGACTTGAGGAGACGACTAGTCTCACTCCCCCGCTTTCACGCTGCGTGTTCTGTTCATGTGTGTCGTGATGTGTCTGTCGGCCCTGGCATGTGTTGTCTGTCCCAGGGCGTGGGGAGAGGCACAACGCCCAACCACGCCAGGGCCCCGTCGAGATCGTCGTCGCCGCGACATCGAGACCTCCGGTGATCTCCGGTGATCTCGGGTGATCTCCGGTGATCTCCGGCGGTCGGGCGGCGTCGATCTCCGAGAGGGAGTCGAGTCTAGCGTTCCTCAAGATGACGCACTACTCAACTCAACCCCTACGCCCGCATCGACGTGGGAGACAAGGCCACCCCTCGATGCTACCTGCTACCAAGCGGTGGGGCAGGAGATTGGAGGGGCCCCTTGCAGAGGCCGCGACCGTGCCTGCCCAGCCGCCCTGGCCTCCATCTGATGCAAGGCTCACGCCGCTCCTGGGCCTCCGACAGAGTGTCCATCAAAGCAGGCTCGCCGCCGCCGCCGCCGCCGCCGCCGCCGAACAAGCCTGCTCTGTCCTCTACCTTGCGCATTATCCTGCTCGCCGCCGTCGCGCTCACCGTGTTGACAGTCGCCTTATTAGCTGCAACCGCTGTGACCATCTTGCTGCTTCGGGACGACGCAGTGGAGCTGCAGTCGTCAGATCCGCCAGAGCGCGCCTACGCAGTAACCTTCAACGTAACGGTCGCTGGAGATGTGGAAGACTTTGACAGCGCCGCGTTCCGTGTTGCCCTGGTTGGCACACTGAGCTTGCAATCCGTCTTCGACGTGAATCTCCGCGTGTCCCCAGGGAGCGTTCTGGTGCAGGTGCAAGTCTCAGTGGAGACGAAAGAAGATGCTGACGCCCTCGCCAGTGAGCTCATGCCGTACGCCGAGGACGTGGCGCTTGCCTCAGCCTTGTGGGAGCTAGCCGTCGAGACTGCGTCGTTGCCACTTGTGGTTGAGCTGCTCACTTCGACCGCTCCGCCATCCGCACCGCCACCGGCGCCACCCTTTTCACGCTCGCCTCCATCATCTCATCCTCCCGCACCTGGATTAGCTGCGCCACCAAGGTCGCCGCCGCCACCGCCACCCACCTCGCCACCGCCGCCCTCGCCGCCACTGCTACCGCCGTCCTCCCCAGCACCGCCGCCCTCCCTACCGCCACGCTCTCCGCCCTCGCCGCCACAGCTATCGTCGCTGCCGCCGTCGCCGCCGCCACCGCCCTTCCCACCTTCTCCGCCGCCAGGGCCGGACGTCATCTTGGACACAGAGTACGGACTACGCGACGGAATCCCATTCGTCGTCTCCCGTGTTGAAACGTCCATCCGTTTCTCTGGTGATGGCATTGGCGACGGGTTCACCGTCGTGTTTCTCCCCGCGGGGACCGACTCCTGCTTGCCGAACCCCAACATTGGTGGCGTTGGCGGCGCAGCGCAGGTCTATGGCAATTCCAACTCAAGAGACCAGTGGGCCGTGATCGAGGATGGCAAGGCACGCTTCACGCTGGGCGATTGCAGCGACGAGGACGACACGGCACAAGATGGAAGTGTTGCAAGAAGGATCTTGTGTGCCAGTAACGCGATCTACAAGGTCTGCATCCTGGATCGGAACTGCACGAACTCTGAGGAAAATAGCGGCTGCGAGGTCGACGCCAGCTACACATACACCAACGCAAAAGTGAGCGTCAACGGTGTCCCTCCGACGTCGCCGCCGCCGCCGCTGTCGGCGCCACCGCGGCCGCCGCCGCCGCCCTCGCCGCCGCCACCCTCGCCACCACCGGCCTCGGGGCTGCCGTCGCGCTCACCGTCTCCTCCTGATGCACCTCCTTCACTACTCCCATCGCCGCCGTCGCCTTCGCCGCTTCCCTTCCCACCGCCGCCCTTGCCGCCACCGCCACGCAGGCCGCCACCTTTCCCCTCGCCGCCACCGCCACCGCCACCTCCGCCGTCGCCGCCACCGCCAACGCCACCGCCCCCTCCGCCGTCGCCGCCACCGCCGCCGCTCGAGGTTGGTCAGCCGGTCAGAAGCGCAGGATGTGGATCTTCTCCGTCTCCCGGGTCTGGCGAATACGATATTGACGTCGGTGGAACGGCGCGACGCTTCCGTCTCAACCTGCCGTCAGACTACGACTCGAACCTCCCTCACAAGCTGCTGATGGTGTGGCACGGACTTGGAGGGACCGCCGATCAGACCGCTGATGGCTACTTTGGTCGGGGGCCATCGTATCAAGGTCTCTGGGACCAAAGCGATGGCCGCGCTATCTTCGTCGCTGGCCAGGGGTTGTCAGCGAACGGCGGTGGCGCCGGCTGGCCCAACAGCGGCGGACGGGACATCGCCTTTGTGCGTGCCATGCTCGCAAAGCTCAAGAGCGACTACTGCATCGACGAGACACGAGTCTTCTCGACGGGCATAAGCTATGGTGGCATCATGTCCAACACGGTTGGCTGCCAGTTGGGCGATCAGGTCCGCGCCATCGCGCCAATCATGGGCAACGGGCCCTACTCCTTTTTTGGCGGTGCCGGCTGTACCGGGCAGGTCGCGGCGTGGCTCACGCACGGAAGCGCAGACGCGATCGTCTCGTACGCCTCCGGGCAAGCCTCTCGTGACCACTGGAAGGAAGCGAACGGCTGCGCAGACACCAGCGTGGTAACTGGCATCGACGCGTGCGTCGAGTATAATGGCTGCGACGAGGGATACCCGGTTGTGTGGTGCCCGACAAGCCTCGGACACTCGACGCCAGCCTTTGCCCCTTCCTCCATTTGGGAATTCTTCGACCGCTTCTGAAGTGAGCCCCTGGGGTCGCCCCCGCGCACATGCGCGGCGTATATGTGCCGGCGGCGACACAGTGCAGCAGAGTGACTCGCTCTCGTCTCGATCCGACGATCCGGTTTTTGTGCAGCATGTAGAGCTCTATACTGTGTACTGACGTTTAAACACAGCACAGTGTAACAGTGTACCGTGTCAGTAAGTGAGACACACGACACGCGACCCCTGTGGTGACTGTCTGGGTGCAATAAAATTAAAGTGCTGTTTAGTTTCTTGGGAATGCTGTTTACGCCTCAACCCCCACCCAACAGCAGGTCACCCGCGGTACTTGTGCGACGTCTGGTACCCCTCGAGCAGGTCGGCCAGGATGCGCTTCCCGACGGGGTCCGAGTTGGCGTGCAGCTCCTGCAGCTCCACCTGCGTGCACATGCCGATCAGCGAGTACACGCCCGGCATCAGCTCGGCCTGAGCCGCCGCGCCGAGTGGCCGGTAGCGGAGCAGCGCCACCACGTCCGACAGCGCGTATGCGCCGTACCGCACGAGAGAGCGCTTGTGCGCCGCAGTCTCCTCGAGCAGCCGCCGCGCGTGCCGCGCGCAATCGAGGCCCATCGGCTCGCGGGCGGGCGCACGCCCCTCCAGCGCGGGCGGCGCGGCGGCGGATGTGGCAGCGGAGGCGGAGGACGCGGCGGCGGTGGACGAGGCGGTGGCGTCCGCCCATCCGAGTGCAAACAACATCCCGCGCACAGCGGAGAAGTAGAGCGGCGCCGCCGTGTGCACGAGCGCGCCGCGCTGCCGCAGCAGCGCGAGCAGCAGAAAGTAAGCCGCGCCTGATCGCAGCCACGGGCGTGAACAGAGAACGCCACTTTCACTTTGCGCGAGGACGCCAGGAAG